ACCAGGATTCAAATTTTGGCCTATTGGGTATTTGTGCCATATTTGATCCAGTGAATGAAAATACATCCTGCATATTTACATTACGATTCATAACAGTAGTAAGATTACAGTTATGAAGTAACAACGAAAATAAAGTTATGGTTGGGGGTCACCACAACATGAGGAACTGTATTAAGGGGTCATGGCATTAGGAAGGTTGAGATCCACTATTCTGTAGTGTGACTACATCTTAATATACTGAATCCCGATACTATATGCCGACTTTATGGAAACTAGGGTTGCAGCTCTTTCTAAGTTCAGGCCATAGAGATGCTTTGAAAGCCCTCCTTCCTTACAAAGGAAAGTCTAATTTTGCAAATTCCTGTTTTCCATCAAAGAAACACCTTGCAAAACCATGGGCTCTTGCTCATTATGCGATTATATTGCAGTGCCTGCCTATGGTTTCACTTTTCCGTCCCAGTTTGTAACTTTGTGTGCTTGGAAATGTGTACTTGGAATTCACTACCTGAGAATTCTAGTGCCTTACTGAACTACAAAGCCCACAATTCCATAGGTCGGAGCCATAGCAAAGTAGGTTCAAAGTGTCAGGCAGGACTTTTCAATTGGTTACTCAATGGAATCAGATGCAGGTGAGCAAAGGGAGAGCATGCTTCATCAAATTCTGCTCTCTGCCATGCAATTTTATTTTAGTCCAAAGAGTTTTAGCCTTGCATCAAAGCTTCAGTTGGGGATGCAGAAATAAGAGTTTGGGTCTCCTTAGAAAATGTGCAAGCAACGTTATTAATATGGCAGTGATCTCGTTGTAATGAATGGTATTTGGTGTCTTGCTCCTTGCAAACTGTGTGTCGGGACACATTAGTTTGTCTCCCATCACCTGAAAAAAGGCCCCCACAAACAAAGCCTTCCCAACAGATGAACATCCTGCCTCACTCCAAAACATCCAGAGACAGAGACTCTACTGGAACCCTGGCAGTCTATACTAGAAGGGACCCCCAAAGGGTATTTAGTCCAACCCCCCCTGCCATTAAGGAAGATACAGTCAAAGCCCTCCCAACAGATGACCATCCAGCCTCTATTTAAAAATCTCCAGAGAGGTTCAGTTGCTACAGAAATAGGAGTGCTGGTGCTGTTCAAATGTTGGTACTGCTATATCTTTTATAATTTGCCCTGTTTGTTGATTGAGTTGCGAACCACCCCTTACGAACCACAGAGGACTTTAAGATCATCTGGGGAGGCCCTGTTCTCAGTCCCGCCTTCGTCACAAGCACGTTTGGTGGGGACGAGAGACAGGGCCTTCTCAGTGTGGCCCCTCGGCTATGGAACGCCCTCCCTAGGGAGATCAGATCTGCTCCCTCCCTCTTGACGTTTCGGAGGCAAGTTAAAACGTGGCTATTCGAGCAAGCGTTTACAAATACAGAGTAGCTAATATAGGAAATCGAATGACCTGACAATGGAACTGGACAATGCTTGAGAATAATGAGATGCTAATGATGTTGTTTTTATTGCTTTTGTGATGTCTTATACTGTTTAATGTTTTTTATCTATATTATGATTTATGTATACTGATTTGTTGGAAACCACCTTGAGTCGCCGATTGGCTGAGAAATACAGTAAACAAACAAACAAATAAATAAATAAATAAAATATAGGGGGGGGGGGCTTTAGATAGCATAGGGAGGAGCTAAGACCCCTGAAACTCCAAGTCGCTTTTGGTGTGAGAGAATTGACTGTCTGCAAGGACGTTGCCCACAGGACGCCCGGATATTTTACCATCCTGTTGGAGGCTTCTCTCATGTCCATGCATGAGAAGCTGGAGCTGACAGACAGGAGCTCACCCTGTTCCCCGGATTGTGCCACTCTTCAGAAGGTTTCACCTCACTTTCTGTCCCTGTACTAATTGGATTTTGGAAAATGTGGCTTGTTGTGGAAACAAGGATTGGGAATAAAGCTTCAGTTGAGACAGCTTTTCCCCAGGATAACTCTTTCAGGAGTAGAATTTCCTTCTGAGCGGTAGATTTCTCTCACTTGCTATTATCTCACCCCCATTCTTAACTGTGCGTCGTTTGTAAGTTGGATGTTTGTAACTTGGGATGTCTAGAACTCAGGGATGGCCTGTATGTATGTGTGTTTGTGTGTATGTATTGTCACAAAAATATGCAGGTCTAAAAAGCATGTCACCAACATGGACAATTTGGAAAGCTCTGCCATAGATACAGCACCAGGCTTCCTTCAGACACAGCTCCGAGTCCGGCCTGATCCATCATGGTGTGGCAATGCCCTCTCATCCTGGGTGAAATCGATCTGTCTTCAGGCATCCCTCCCTGCGGAAGTAATCGGAGCTGACGGCCATCGATCACGTCCGGCCCATGGACACCCAAGCTGGGCAGACAGGCCGCTCATTCACCCAGCGCTCTCCCGCTGGTTCCTAGATTAAGGCCATCCATCCACGGCGTTTTAACCTACTTGCCAGCATTGTTTATGCCCTCCTCCTTCTTGCAAGTCTGGGACTCGCTTGTTTAGGGTCAAGCCCAGAACCCTCTGAGGACGTCCCCAGTTCTGATGGCTGTGCAGATTGATGATTCCTCCCATTCGGATGCAAGGAACCAACAGGCAACTTTTTTTGCAAATAGGAGTTGGCCTCTTGGATAGGGCCTTTAAAGCTCAGACTAAAACCCAGAGTCTTACAAGCCGTCCCCAAGTTACAAACATCTGACTTACAAATGACTCATAGTTAAGAACAGGAGTGAGACATATTTCAAAACTATTTTAAATACAATTTATCCATCCCTTTAGGTCTGAATCCAATATATTTCCTGTACCCAGATACATGTTTGTGGCTATAGCCAACATTTTATTGTAGCAAAGCAAAAGCTTGTGGTTACATTCAAACTGTTTCCTCTTCCTCCGCTTGCCATAGATGCAGGCGAAACGTCAGGAGAAATGCCTCTAGAACATGGCTCTATAGCCCGGAAAAAACCCACAAGAACCTAGTTTTTCCTCTTTGTTTCTAAACTTAATACATTATACATAACGCTCAGGCAATAGGGGTAGACAAAGAAAGGAAGAACTATGTGGGTTCGCAAGGCTTAGGGACAGAATTAGGGGGCAAAGGTCTCCTGAAGGATCCCATGACTGGAAAAGTTTGGGAACAGCCAATGTAGAGAACTTCCCACTTGTGTTGGCACTTGAGGAACTGAGACTTATTACTAGCATATATACTTGACCTCGTGCATAAGTTAAGCACAGGTTTGGGGGCTAAAATTATGGATCTTTGGCAGACAGCAGAGAGAATAGAGAGCTCAGTGCTTCTTTTCGGTTCTTCTGGGACAGACTAAGCCTTTTTGGGTTGACTTGTTGACTTTTTTTCATGTCAGGAGCGACTTGAGAAACCGCAAGTTGCTTCTGGTGTGAGAGAAATGGCCGTCTGTAAAGACGTTGCCCAGGGGACGCCCAGATGTTTTACTATCCTGTTAGAGCCTTCTATCATGTCCACCAAGGTTCTGTTCCAGCAGACACCAGCCAACCCCTCTCCAATGCCAGTAATACAGCTTTATGGTGTAACATTAGAAAATGTTGATCATTTCCGCTACCTTGGCTACCTCTCCACCAAAGTCAACATCGACACCGAAATACAACACCGCCTGAGCTCTGCGAGCGCAGCATTTTTCCAAATGAAGCAGAGTGTTTGAGGACCGGGACATCCGTAGGGATACCAAGGTGCTTGTTTATAGAGCTATTGTCATCCCAACCCTGCTATATGCCTGTGAGATGTGGACTGTCTACAGACGTCACATGCAACTCTTGGAACAATTCCATCAGCGCTGCCTCCGGAAAATCCTGCATATCTCTTGGGAAGACAGGCGGACAAACGTCAGCGTGCTGGAAGAAGCAAAGACCACCAGCATTGAAGCGATGGTCCTCCACCACCAACTCCACTGGACTGGCCACGTTGTCCGGATGCCTGACCACCGTCTCCCAAAGCAGTTGCTCTACTCTGAACTCAAGAACGGAAAACGGAATTGGTGGACAGGAAAAGAGATTTAAAGATGGCCTCAAAGCCAACCTTAAAAACTCTGGCATAGACACTGAGAACTGGGAAGCCTTGGCCCTTGACTGCTCCAGCTGGAGGTCAGCTGTGACCAGCAGCACTGCAGAATTTGAAGAGGCACGAATGGAGGGAGAAAAGGAGAAGCGTGCCAAGAGGAAGGCGCGTCAAGCCAACCCCGACCGAGACCGCCTTCCACCTGGAAACCAATGCCCTCACTGCGGAAGAAGATGCAGAGCAAGAATAGGGCTCCACAGCCACATACGGACCCACAAGAATACTGGAAGACAATCCTCCTCGGAAAACGAGGGATCGCCTAAGTAAAGTAAAGTAAGGAGCTGACAGATGGGAGCTCACCTCACTCCCCAGATTCAAACCGCCGACTTTTCAGTCAGCAGTCCTGCCGGCACAAAGGTTTAACCCATTGCGCCATGGAGGGTTCCTTGACGCATTGACTAAAATATCTAAACTTGCACATGAGCTTATATCGTATGCAAGGTGCAGAAACATGAACCTTTTGGGCATGCGTTGCAGGCTTAGGTTTTGTGGATTGCAGGTTTAGATTAATATATTCTTTCTAGGATTCTCTAGGTCCTCTTGTGCCACTCTGTATCAAAAATAACAACTACATTTGCCAGAAATGTAGTGGTTATGTCATTCATTCATGCTCCAATTGACAACAAAATGGACAGGCTGTGGATGGTTAACTCACTGATGTAATGAAGTTTCCAATGTGCTGCACGCATCTCTTCTTCTTTAAATGCTTCGAAACTACATCATTCATGTATCAACTTGATACTTTTAATTAAAATATGGGTTTGCATGGTGATGATTAGTTTCAACTTTTGTGCATTTTAATTAATCTGTGTTCTAAGCCGCCTTGGGTCCCAGTCGAAATGAAAGACGGAATAGAAAGCCATTCAAGAATTAAACCAAAGGATGTTTTTGTTTGCAGGAGAAGCTGTTCATCTGGCCCGGGATTTTGGTTATGTCTGTGAGACGGAGTTTCCAGCCAAAGCCGCAGCGGAGTTCCTCTGTCGGCAGCATGCAGACCCCGGCGAACTCCATGCGCGGAAGAACATGCTCCTGGCAACTAAGTGAGTATCCGCTCCTTCTTTGCAAAGGGAATGAGAGGTGGGTGAGGACTGCTGGCTCCTGTGCCAATGGGAAGTGTGTTCATTCTGGGTTTTAGTCCGAACTTTAAAGGAGTGGCCCACAGTACGGAACAAGATTTTCCCAAATAGACCTAACTTCCTGGAGAGCTCCTCAAAGTTCAGGGTCAAACCCAAAGTGGAGTCAGCATCCCACTGAAACTGAGGCTAACTGCTGCGAGACTCCATTCAAAACCATAAAAATATCCTTAGTTCACAATGCAGCAAGACTACCATCATTTCAGAGTCCAAATCCATGGTTTCAATTACGGCAGAGAATGGTCTTGTTTGGTATTTGTCATGTTCTCCAACATGACTTTATGGTATTTATGACCAACTTGTAGCCCTCCAGGTGTTTGGGCCTCCAACTCCCAGAAGCCCTGGCTAGCTTATGCAGCAGTCAGGAATTCTGGGAGATGAAGTTCAAAACACTTCGAGGACCAAAGGTTGGACACCATTGCTTTATGGTATGCTGTCCCTGGAAGTTACCATAAAGTCACTATGGAGGACATAGGAAATTGCTAGGGAGGATACCTAGATGTGAGGGAATTTAATAGCATTTGCTCGGTTTCAGGTAACTATAGTTCACCTGAGAATATATCTTTTGCAGGGAGGAGGGGATGTCTCAGCAACAATGGAGTAGTGGATTCAGGGGTGCAAGGATTTTGAGATATTCCATGTGGTGTCCAGGACACATGATTCCCACTCTAGCCATAGGTTGTGGTTGAAGCAAAATCCATGGATGCTCAAGTCCCACTACATATACAATGGCATAGTCATTGGATATAGTGGGACTTGAGCATCCATGGCTTTGCTTAGACCACAACCTATGGCTTTTCCATCATATAAAATGGCAAAACCATAGTTTGTCTTTGGGATTTTATTGAGCCGTGGATGGGTGAATCTGTGGATACGGCGGGCTGACTGAAGATTGGCTTGTGCAAAATTAACTTTCTTCACAAGGGTTGCATAGCATTAGCTAATTGTACAACCTTACATGCAAATAGGATTTCAGACTTATTCACATGTAGGATTTCTTAGGGTGCAACCTTATTTGCATGTTATGATTTCAGCCTTATTCTAATGTAGGATTTCTCAGGATGCAACCTGACTTGTATACAGGATTTCAAGCTTTGTTTTCGTGCAGAACTTCATTCTTGTATTGTCGAAGGTTTTCATGGCTGGAATCACTGGGTTGTTGTAGGCTTTTCGGGCTGTATAGCCATGTTCTAGAAGCATTCTCTCCTGACGTTTCACAACCTCACAACCTCTGAGGATGCTTGCCACAGATGCAGGTGAAATGTCAGGAGAGAATGCTTCTAGAACATGGCCATACAACCCAAAAAAACCTACAACAACCCAACATCATTCTTAATTGCATACAAGATATCACAAGGCACAACTTTACTTGCAAGTAGGATTTTAACCTTATTTTTATGTAGGATTACCCAGTGCAACGTTGTGGCGCAATGTAAAATATACCACATGTAATTCACATTTGATCAAACCACACAGTGCCTTACTAGAGAAAGAAAATATGCCACTCAAGTGAACCATAAAGAAAAAGTAGTTTACTCTTCTTAGTTCAAAACAACATATCTACAATATGATCAGTTGCACCAACCCATATAATGTCCTTTCATAAGAGGTTCAAAATAGTATCTCTTTTGTCCATGTGGATAAACTCCTTCAGCGGTCCATGGTGCAAGAGCACACTCCAGATTCTGTCTGCTTCCCTCTTCAAACTGTCTCTCTCTGCATATGCATAGCTCAAGCCGGAACAAAAATGCAACAGTATCCAAAAGTCCCAGGCTCAGCCATCTCTCGGGCATTGCTTGACAAATCAGCTTCATGCGTCTTATTTTTCAGTTGACATACACACACTGATTCCTTGCATGCTCCAACAAATCTGACTTGTATATAGGATTTCATTCTTATTTTCATGTTAGATTTTTCAAGGTGCAATCTTACTTTTATGCAAGATTTCAATCTTACCTTCATGTAGGCTTTCAGCCTTATTTGCACGTAGGATTTTGGAGGGTACAGCCTTACTTGCATGTAGAATTTCAGCCTTATTTCCATGTAGGATTTATCATGGTACATGTTTACTTTCATGTAGGATTTTTCAGGGCTATAGCCTGACTTGTATATAGGGTTTCAATCTTATTTTCATGTAGGATTTCACCTTTATTTGCATGTAGGATTCCTCAGGGTACAATCTGACTTGTATATAGAATTATGATCCCTGTTTCGAACTCTTCAGGTGAGCAGGTCCTACAACGGCTCCCTTGCAGACCTAGTCCCCCGTGCCCCCCCCCCCCCAAGCAGACTGTATGGAAGAACACAGAATCATAGAATAATAGAGTTAGAAGAGACTGGGTGGGCCATCAACATCATTTCTCAACCTGGGGGTCAGGACCCTTGGGGGGGGGTTGTGAAGGGCTGTTTGGGGGTGGTCGCAAAAGACCATCAGAAAGCACAGTATATTCTGTTGGTTCTGGTTGTTCTGTGTGGGAAGCGTGGCCCAATTCTATCATTGGTAGAGTTCAGAATGCTCTTTGATTGTAGGTGAACTATAACTTCCAGCATATACAGCTCCCAAATGACAAAATCAAAGTCTATTTTCCACAAACGCCACCAGTGTTCACATTTAGGTATATTGAGTATTCATACCAATTTTGATCCAGATCCATCATTGTTTCAGTCCACAGTACTCTCTGGATGTAGGTGAACTATAACTCTGAAATTCAAAGTCAATGCCCACCAAACCCTTCCAGTATTTTTTTCTGTTCATCATGGGAGTTCTGTGTGCCAAGTTTGGTGAATTCATGCAAATGTGAGAGGATCAGTACAGCTTGGGTGAGAAGGTAATGGAGCTCCATGCAGTCATGCTGGCCGCATGCCTTGGAGGTGTTTACGGACAATGCCGGCTCTTGGCTTATTTATTTATTTATTTATTTATTTAAAACATTTATATTCCGCCCTTCTCACCCTGAAGGGGACTCAGGGTGGAGTACAGCATATACATGGCAAACATTCAATGCTGGGACACAAATTCACATACACATACATAAACATTAAAAAACTTTTATCAAAATATTGAAATTCACCATTTAAAACCGTCCTAGTCATCCGCATCAAATCCAATTGGCCCTGTCATCTTTCCTATTGCCGCTTTATTGCCCTGTCTCAAAAGCTTGGTCCCACAGCTAAGTTTTTACCATCCTTCTAAAGGACAGGAGGGAGGGGGCCAACCTGATCTCACCAGGAAGGGAGTTCCATAGCTGGGGAGCAATCACCGAGAAGGCCCTGTCTCTCGTCCCCACCAATCGTGCCTGTGACAATGGCGGGACGGAAAGCAGGGCCTCCCTGGAGTATCTTAATCTCCATGATGGTACATAGGAGGAAATGCGTTTGAACAGGTAAATTGGGCCGGGGCCGTTTAGGACTTTATAGGCCAAAGCCAGCACTTTGAATTGTGCCTGGTAGCAAACTGGCAGCCAGTGGAGCTGGCATAACATGGGAGTTGTATGCTTCCTGTATGCCGCCCCAGTTATTAACCTGGCCGCCTCTCGTTGGACTATTTGAAGTTTCCGAGCAGTCTTCAAAGGCAACCCCACATAGAGTGCGTTGCAGTAGTCTATCCTAGATGTAATGAGAGCGTGGACCATCGTGAGCACCAACCCGCAACTGGACTTAATGTCAGGGCAAAACCTTTACCTTTACCTTTATCTTGTACTACAATGTCTCCTCTCAATCTTCTCTTCTGCAAAGTGTCAGTGTCTTGTTGTCCGATCCTAAGGTCACCTCTCTCCCTTTCCTCCGATTCCAGGCAAATCTGCAAGGAGTTCTCAGACATGATGGCCCAGGACCGCTCTCCGCTGGGGAACAGCCGCCCCTCGTTCATCCTGGAACCCGGCGTCCAGAGCTGCCTGACCCACTTCAGCCTCATCACGCATGGCTTCGGGGGGCCGGCCATCAGCGCGGCCCTCACCGCCTTCCAGAACTACTTGGTGGAGTCGCTCAAGGGCCTCGACAAAATGTTCTTGAACAGCACAGGCAACGGACACCCCGTGGGGGACTCCAAAACATCAGAGAAGGACGTCAAGCACCGGAAATGACGCCACCAGCCCCGCCGTTGCTTTCTTAGCCGGCCCCGATCCCTGGAGGGAGTCCCTTCCCAGTTAATGAGTGAAAAGAAAGAGAGGCCTCCGTGGTTCCTATCAGCGTCAGGAAAATGGAAAAGAAACGAGCCCCCGGACTCCATATTCCCCTCATGTTTTCCAAACTGTGACCGATGCATTTCTGGAACCCAATGGAGAAACCGTGAAGACAGAGAAGGACCTTTCCGTTGAGACGGACGCTTTCTGGACACACTTTTAGGTGCCGGAAGCCAGGTTCGATGTGCAATGATTTTTCCCACGTTTTGTTTTCCCTTTGGAAATTCAGAGTTGTAAAATAGCAAGATGGTTCAACGAGGAGGAAGAAGACGACGTGAGATGGAGAACATCTCAGATGGAGTGGAGAACTGCTTAGGGTCAGGAGGACTATGGACGAAAAAAATGTGTTTTGTGGGGGATTGTAGGGAAGGAAATGGCATAGCTTTCAAATGGCCCTTTGGTCAAGGAGAAAGGAACTTTTCCAAGGATGCTAAAACATCCTTTGGCCTTGGAAATCAATGTGGATTTTCCTTACGGGAGACGTACACATCAGTACACATATACAATAATCCACATCTGTTGGCGTTAGAGGCACAGCATTCCCAAGAAAGTGAAAAAATGGGAATAAAGTAATAGCTATCTTTTTTTTTTAATCTAAGAATTTCTAGGTCTTCCAGCACAACTTTGTGATGATTCTATGTCCTCCAGCACAACTTTATGGTCAACTTCTGGCCATAGAATTGCATTGGAGGATCTATGTCCTTTCTAGAATGCTCTATGTCAGCATTTCTCAAGCTGGGTGTCAGGACCCCTGAGAGGGGTCGCGAGGGGGGTGTCCAAGGGGTCACCAGAGACCATCAGAAAACACAGTATTTTCTGTTGGTCATGGGGGTTCTGTGTGGGAAGTTTGGCCCAATTCTATAGTTGGTGGGATTCAGAATGCTCTTTGATTGTAGATGAACTATAAAGCCCAGCAACTACAACTCCCAACTGTCAAGGTCTATTTTCTCCAAACCCCACCAGTGTTCACATTTGGGCATATTGAGTATTTGTGCCAAATTTGGTCTGGATCCATAATTGTGGATCAGTGTTCTCTGGTTGTAATTGAACTACAACTCCAAAACTCAAGGCCCACCAAGTCCTTCCAGTATTTTCTGTTAGCCGTGGGAGTTCTGTGTGCCAAGTTTGGTTCAGTTCCATCATTGGTGGAGTTAGGAATGCTCTGTGATTGTAGGTGAACTTGAAATCCCAGCATCTACAACTCCCAAATGACAAAATCAACCTCCCTGCTCCCCAACTCCACCAGTATTCAAATTTGGACATATTGGGTATTTGTGCCAAATTTGGTCCAGTTAATGAAACTATATCCTGCATATCAGATATTTACATTATGATTCATAACAGTAGCAAAATTACAGTTCTGAAGTAGCAACGAAAATAATGTTATGTTTGGGGGTCACCACAACATGAGGAACTGTATTAAAGGGTCGTGGCATTAGGAAGGTTGAGAAACTCTGCTCTAGATCCTTCAGCATTATTGGAGGACAATCTCCATATAGTTGCATTGGAAGACCTAGAAAACTCCTAGAGAGAACGTTTTTTCAATCAAATCCATGAATAATCTGCAAAAGCCCCAAATGCAAATGAGGAGAGACGACTGTACAACCCCATTGGGACCTTTCCTTGCGAAAGGAAGAGCATTTCAACAGATCCTCCCATTTATCAAAGTGTGATCCAATCAATCCAGCGAAATCATACGACCGTTCTCGACCCTTTTTTTGCCCAGCGTTAGTAATAATATTAAAGAGTGTTTAAATAATAATGCTAATAATAATAATAATAATAAATTAATAAATGATGAAAGCACAAGAAGCAGACCTTGAAGGAGGCCAAACTGAACTGTTTGAAAATTCTGTGTATATTTATTTATGTGTAATTAAATCAAGAAAGTTTCTAAATGTCCAGTGAGCATTATTTCTGTTGAATTCCTTTGGGACTTTGGAAGGATCTTTCCAGAATGAAGGTTGGGATTCTCGAGAAGGCAGCATGGATCAAAACCTTGTGATGCGTATGTGTGTATAGTGCCCCTGGCACGTGAACCATGTCATCTTCCTCCTCCGCCATTTGATGAGTGCTACTATCACCAATGGAGCCCTCGGTGGTGCAGTGGAGCCGCGGAGCTACAGAACTTGCTGATCAAAAGGTTGCAGGTTCAAATCTGGGGAGCAGCGTGAGCTCCCGCTGTTAGCCCCAGCTTCTGCCAACCTAGCAGTTCGAAAACATGCACATGTGAGATCAATAGGTACTGCTCCAGCGGGAAGGTAACGGCGTTCCATGCAGTCACACTGGCTACATGACCTTGGAGGTGGCTATGGACAACGCCGGCTCTTCAGCTTAGAAATGGAGATGAGCACCAATCTCCGGAATCTGACACGACTGGACTTAATGTCAGGGGAAAACCTTTCCCTTTCCCTATATATATCTATATAAATAAAAATGTAATGTTTGTTTGTGGGATTAACATAACTCAAAAACCACTGGGTGAATTGACACCAAATTGGGACACAATACACCTATCAGGCCGAGTGACCATCACTAATAAAAACACTGGAAAAAACAGCAGAAGAGACTTAAAAAGCCAAAAAACAAAACAAAAATCCCTCACTCTAATCCTGTATCTAAGTCTAGCTACTCATTGAGGACAGGAGACTTGTGCAATCCAGGGATGAAACCCAACACCTGTTACTATACCATACTATAGCTATATAAATAAAAATGTAATGTTTGTTTGTGGGATTGACATAACTCAAAAACCATTGGACGAATTGACACCAAATTTGGACACAATACACCTATCATGCCAATGAGTGACCATCACTCATAAAAACACTGAAAAACACAGTGGAAGAGACTTAAAAAGCAAAAAAAGAACCCACAAAATACATTACAAAGCATGCACAAAACCACATATATACACATATACACAAATATACACACACAAAACACATATACATAGACTGGGCCATAGCAACGCGTGGCAGGGTTCGGCTAGTATATACATATGAGAAAGAACCGTAGCCCTTTGCTTTCCTGTTTGGTTCCTTTTCTTTCTCCTCCTTTCTGTACAGTGTGGTTGCTTTCTCCGAAAAAAGGGGCACTAGATGTAACAGTGCTGCCATTCGCAGCCCCAACCGACTGATATTGACATTAATTTTTATTTGGAAACCCAACTCCCAATCCCTGTCTTTGTGATGTTGATCTGCAAGAGCCAAAAAGAGAAACAAATAACATCAAAGGCAATGGAAAAAATGTTTCCAGCCATTTAGAGAAGGAGAAAATGGTATTGAGGGAGTAATAGGGCATTCTGAGCTGTTTTGGGGTGAAGACGGAATATAAAAGGATGTTTAAGGAAAATATAAACACAGTAGAGTCTCGGTCGGGGCTGCGGTGGTGCAGCAGGTTAAACTGCTAAGTTGCAGAACTTGCTGGCCTCGGTGGCCCAATGGGTTAAACCCTTGTGCCGACAGGATTGAAGACCGACAGGTGGCAGGTTCGAATCCAGGGAGAGCGCAGATGAGCTCCCTCTGTCAGCTCCGGCTTCCTATGCAGGGACATGAGAGAAGCCTTCCACAAGGATGGTAAAACATCAAAACATCTGGGCATCCCTTGGGCAACAGCCAATTCTCTCACACCAGAAACAACTTGCAGTTTCTCAAATCGCTCCTGACATGAAAAAAAGGAAGGTCGGCAGTTCGAATCTGCAGGACAGGGTGAGCTCCCATTAATAGCCCCAGCTTTTGCCAGCCTTCAGTTTGAAAACATGCAGATGTTAGTATTTATTTATTTACTTTGCTTATATACCGCTGTTCTCAGCCCGGGGGCGACTCACAGTGGTGTACAACATAGAAAGAACAAGGTTCAAAATTCAAGACACAATCTAAAATAATCAGTCCAGCATTAACCAAAAACATCATCATCAAAAAACATCACCAATACTACAAAAGCCATTCCACATCGTCTCATCGTCTAAACCACAATTCAGTATCATTTTCCGTTGTTCCATTCCTGTCGCCATTACCAATTATTGCACTTCTTGTTCGAACGCCTTCTTGAACAGCCAAGTCTTTAGTTTCCTGCGGAATATCATCAGGGAAGGAGCCAGTCTGATGTCCACGGGAAGGGTGTTCCACAGCCGAAGAGCCACCACTGAGAAGGCCCTATCTCTCGTTCCCGCCAGGCGTGCCTGTGAGGCAGGCGGGATCGAGAGCAGGGCCTCTCCGGACGATCTCAAAGTCCTGGTGGGCTCGTAGGTCGAGATGCGGTCGGATAGGTATCTTGGGCCGGAACCGTTTAGGGCTTTATAGGCCAACGCCAGCACCTTGAATTGATCAATAGGTACTACTTCGATGGGAAGGTAAAGGCGCTCCACGCAGTCATGCTGGCCACATGACCTTGGAGGCATCTACAGACAACCCTGTGAGAAGGTTGCATTAGGGTCACCCCGAGTCTGAAATGACTTGAAGGTCTTAATTAACTTGACTCTCATCAGCCAAAAGCAGGCCCACGCTTCCCGTGGAAATACTTATAAGTTTATGTTAGTTCAAATTGTTCTTCCTTTTCAATATTGTATTGTTCTTTCACGTTTTTTTACACTGCAGTGTGCATAGGAATCCGTGCATGTTCTTCTTTTTTCAAACTATAGTCTGGCCCCCCAACAGTCTTGAGTGGCCCTCTGTTTAAAAAATTTGAGGACCCCTGCAGTAAACTCTCAGTTAACCGGCACAAATAGTGATTGGTCAGATGTCAGCTAAATGCATTTTCTGGTTGTTTGAGCTTTACTGTTCAAACTAGGACTAATACTGTGCTGCTTACTATACCATACCATAAACTCCGTGTGGACTTGATATTCATATTGAAAAAAAAATCATTCAAAGCAAGTTGAGACAGAGACAAACACAATCTAACACAGTTTTACTGCATTATAAAAACAATAAATAATACAATAAATAATACTTTAAAATGTAAAGTATTATTTACTGGACTTTTTTGCCAGTTGCTTGAGTACCAGTTCACTGAGAGTCTATTGCAGGCATGGGTAAACTTCGGCCCTCCAGGTGTTTTGGACTTCAACTCCCACAATTCCTAACAGCCTACCGGCTGTTAGGAATTGTGGGCGTTGAAGTCCAAAACACCTGGAGGACCAAAGTTTGTCCCATGCCTGGGTGTCATTGGGATCACTGCCTGTCTGCTTTCTCCCTTCTCCAGCTCTGATGAGGCTTGCCTCAATGTCTCCATGGCAACAGTAGGCGGGCTCTTTCCTTCCTTTTTCCCTTCCCCTCCTACACACGCCACATTTCCTTACCAATGATGTCACAAAGAATCATTTCACCTAGAAACATCAAACCCAGTGACAGCAGAGGGCCACTTCACCTAGCAACAACCAACTCGGTGACATAACAAAGGATCACTTCACCTAGCAACAGCCAATCCATTGACATCACAAAGGGCCATTCACCTAGCAACAGCCAACCCAGTGACATTGCAGAGGGCCACTTCACCTAGCAACAGCCAAGCCAGTGATGTCGCAGAGGGCCACTTCACCTAGCAAGACAACCCAGTGACATCACGGAGGGCCACCTCACCTAGCAACAGATAACCCAGTGACGTTGCAGAAGACCGCTTCACCTAGCAACAGCCAACCAAGCAACATTGTAGAGGGCCACTTCACCTAGGAGCAGACAACCCAGTGACGTCGCAGAGGGCCATTCACCTAGCTACAGCCAACCCAGTGACATTGCAGAGGGCCACTTCACCTAGCAACAGCCAACCAAGTAACATTGTAGAGGGCCACTTCACCTAGCAACAGACAACCCAGTGACGTCGCAGAGGGCCATTCACCTAGCTACAGCCAACCCAGTGACATTGCAGAGGGCCACTTCACCTAGCAACAGCCAACCAAATAACATTGTAGAGGGCCACTTCACCTAGCAACAGACAACCCAGTGACGTCGCAGAGGGCCATTCACCTAGCTACAGCCAACCCAGTGACATTGCAGAGGGCCACTTCACCTAGCAACAGCCAAGCCAGTGATGTCGCAGAGGGCCACTTCACCTAGCAAGACAACCCAGTGACATCACGGAGGGCCACCTCACCTAGCAACAGATAACCCAGTGACGTTGCAGAAGACCGCTTCACCTAGCAACAGCCAACCAAGCAACATTGTAGAGGGCCACTTCACCTAGGAGCAGACAACCCAGTGACGTCGCAGAGGGCCATTCACCTAGCTACAGCCAACCCAGTGACATTGCAGAGGGCCACTTCACCTAGCAACAGACAACCCAGTGACGTCGCAGAGGGCCATTCACCTAGCTACAGCCAACCCAGTGACATTGCAGAGGGCCACTTCACCTAGCAACAGCCAACCAAATAACATTGTAGAGGGCCACTTCACCTAGCAACAGACAACCCAGTGACGTCGCAGAGGGCCATTCACCTAGCTACAGCCAACCCAGTGACATTGCAGAGGGCCACTTCACCTAGCAACAGCCAAGCCAGTGATGTCGCAGAGGGCCACTTCACCTAGCAAGACAACCCAGTGACATCACGGAGGGCCACCTCACCTAGCAACAGATAACCCAGTGACGTTGCAGAAGACCGCTTCACCTAGCAACAGCCAACCAAGCAACATTGTAGAGGGCCACTTCACCTAGGAGCAGACAACCCAGTGACGTCGCAGAGGGCCATTCACCTAGCTACAGCCAACCCAGTGACATTGCAGAGGGCCACTTCACCTAGCAACAGCCAACCAAGTAACATTGTAGAGGGCCACTTCACCTAGCAACAGACAACCCAGTGACGTCGCAGAGGGCCATTCACCTAGCTACAGCCAACCCAGTGACATTGCAGAGGGCCACTTCACCTAGCAACAGCCAACCAAATAACATTGTAGAGGGCCACTTCACC